CTGAATTGAAGATAAAAGAAAAAAGTCTAAATATCAGATAGGTAATAAAAATATCAGGTAACTGATAGTCAGCATTTTTTCTTTTCTTATACATTCAGTTAAGAGTAAGAGTTTCATCAAGCATTACCTGAGCTGCACCATGTGAATTTTGATTTGTTATATCTTTGGTAAACATTTGGCTTAAAATACTTTCTAATTTCTATTTTGATCTCTTCTTTCCTTGTAGATTATTTGGAAGCGTATTGTTTAGCTTCCAAGAAGCTGGGAATTTCTTAGTTATCTTTTTTCCCCTTAATTTAGCCTAATTCAGCTACAGTGTGGTCAGAAAACATGATTTCAATCCTCAATCTTCAAATTTCTGGCAACTTACTTTACATCACCAAGTATAGTTAACATTGATAAATGTTCTGTGTGCTCTTAAAAGGATCAAATGTGCCACTGTATGGTGGACTGTTCATTATTATCAATTAGGTCGTATTTGTTGGTTGTGTTATTCAGATTCTTCACATGTGTAGTGACATTTTATCTGCCTCTTTTATTAGCTACTGAGAAAGGTGTATTAAAATCTGCTACTGATTGAGGATTTGCCTGTTTCTACTTATAGTTCTATCCATTTTTGTCTTATTTATTTTCACACCATATTTTGGGGTGCATTTGGATATTCCCTTTATCTGTAGAAATGCTTCCCAAGTTAAATCTATTTTGCATTATATTAATATTGCTGTACCAGCCTTTTTTGAGTTATTGTTTGTATCAGATGTCTTTCCACTTTATGTGCCGCTATACTTAAGGTCACTTTCTGCTTCATGTGACCCTATGCTTACGGAAGCTTTATCTAAGCAACTTGAGAGTGTAGCTTTGTTTTCTCATTCATTCTGAAAATTTTATATTTTAAGTGGAGTTTTAAATACTTTTATATTATTTAACATAATTACTGTTGCATAGAATCTTAGTTGGGTTATTATTTCCTTTCAGCACTGTGAAAACTTTCTTCCATTGTCACCTGGGTCCCATAATTCTTTTCAGAAGACATCTGTTAATTTTAAAATTTGATTTCCCAACCCCACCCTCGCCCCATCACCAAGGCTGCTCTTCAGATTTCTCTTTCTCTCTTTTTAAAAATCAGTTTTATGATAATATATGTAGGCATGGTTTTCTTTGGTTTTGTTTGTTTGGTCTTTTGTCCCCTCCCCCATCTTCTAGAGACAGTGTTAATGGTTGTCTTTGTTTTTATCTCCTTTTGTTTAACAGAGTTTCTTAAATAAGTGGGTTGATGTTTTTCATTAGTTTTGGAAAATGCTTGTCAATTATATCCTTTCACATCTTGATTTTGCTTCATTCACTTTCTTACCTTCTTTTGGAATTTCAGTAACTCGTAAGAACTTTAAACTGTTTCCCATTTGTATTCTGTTTTCCTTTTCTTTTTGTTCATTCTTTACCTTTCTGTGCTTTAGTTTAGATAGTTTTCTAAAGTTTCTATTAAACACGTGTTAAAATTTTAATGTTAAGGGCTATATTTTTTGGTTTTAGAATTTCCTTTTGATTTATTCTTACAAATTTTATTCTTACAAATGTGAAATTTATTCTTACAAATGTGAAATTCTCCATACTTTTTCCCACATTTTCTCTATATTTCTCTGATTTCTTGAATATGTTATCAAAGCTATTTTAAATTTTGTGATATCTAAATCACTTGCTTTTACTATTTCTTTTTTCTCTTGGTTTTGTTCATATTGCTCTGACTCTTAGTATACCTAGTGATCTTTATTGAACGCCAGACTTTGTGTATTAAAAGAATAAAGCTTCTAGATAAAATTATAATCCACTAGACAAAATTCACTCTCCTTTTTTTGTTTTTTTCTTGAAAGAAGGTAGAGTGGAGGGCTGATGATCTTAAACCAATAAGGAAACAAGCACTCTTTCCTGCTAAGAAAAATGAAAATGCCAGTTTGGTAATGCTCCTTCTGTCTGTGACTTGTCCCACTTTTTGAGTGTGGCCCTTCCAGGTTTGTAATAGAAAACCTGGCAGGTCTTGGTCTCTTCAACCCTCAAAAAGTCCACTCTTCTTTTTAGATAGTTTGGACTTCTATTTCTAGCTTCTTGCTTCTTGGAGCTTCATAACTCAGCAGTTTTCTTTAGGGGTGAAACCAGCTGTGTATTTGAGGACTCCAAAGTCTTTGCTTTTATACTCCAACATTGCACAACTGCCAAAAGCTCTTTTGGTGTTCCTGACACCTGTGTGCTGGTGCCAACACTGGCAGCTCAGCCACTAGTTGGGCTTAGAATTGGCAAGTATCCCAGAGAAACAGTGGCTGCAGATCCTCTGCGTCAATTCACTGCTTGCTTCAGGACTTTCACTGTCTCCTGGTATGCTCTTTCCCCTTCCTTTATCCAGTGAATTTTCATCTTCTTAGAACCGTGAAATTATTGCGAATTCTGTTCTGTTTTTTCCCCAGAGATTTTCCTTAATTTTATAACCTCTTGCCCCACATGGTTTCAGAATTCTAAAAATGTCTAGAGGTAAAAACCAGCTATGTGTTTGATGTCCCGCAAATCTACAGTCTTGTCATAGCATCCTTGAGTGACCACCAAGATTTCACTGGGTTCTCATTCCCCCAGCAACCAGCCTCTACTTGGAGCTAAGACAGATTATCAGCCTGTGCCCAAGATCAGAAAATGTCCCCAGGTAAAATGTAGCTGCAGTCCCTCAACTCATTTCCCAGAGGTTCTCTCCTCTCTGGAATTCTAGTTCTTCTAGTCCTTGCTGCCTCTGCAGCTCTCTGATGCATTTTAAAATGTGAATTGCCTTTTCTGACTGGCTTTTCCAGCTCTCCTTGGCATGCCACAAGCTCCACCTTACCTGCAACAAAATTACAGAAACATGGTTTTAAGAGTTATTTTGGGTAGAATTAAGAGAGCAACAAGTGAAAAGGTCAGATTATGGATAAAACTGAATTCCTTAGCTTCTATTTCCTTTTTTATTTTTAGGAAAGGAGGAGGATTATTTCTAAGTGAATACAGGAGGACCAAGAGATAGGAAGCTTGATAGGAAGCCACCAAGCAGCTGGTGATTAGCCTAACTTTTCTCCCAGGAAGAGATTTGGTTCTTTTTTTTTTTTTTTTTTTTTTTTTTNTTTTTTTTTACAGGCTTGTTTTATTTTAATGGCTGATCTATGTAATCACGGAGGCCAGTACGCACGGACAAAGGGGGAGCTTTTATTTCTTGGTCTCTTCCTCCTTGGACAAAGTCTTGATGATCTCCTCATTTTTTGGCTTGGTACTAGTGTGCTTCCTTGGTCTTACACCTGCAGGCCTCAGCCTGGTCAGCCAGGAGCTTCTTGCCTTCTCTGCCTTCAGCTTGTGGATGTGTTCCATGAGAATCCACTTATTTTTGAATACATTCCCCTTCACCTTCAGGTACAGGCTGTGATGCATGCGGCGATCAATCTTAGATTCCCGGCATCTTCTGAGCAGCCGGCGCAGAATTCTCATTCTCGTCATCCACGTGACCTTCTCATTGGCTGTACCCTTATGCTTACCTATGCCTATGTGCCTGCCCTTCTGGCAGGCTAAGGTGTTTTTCCGGCATCGAGCCTGGGAATAGACCGTCACAGGCTTGCGGATGATCAGCCTATCTTTGATTAGCTTCCAGATCTGCTGACGGGAGATAGCATTGGCAATTTAATTGATCTCATTTGGGTCCAACCAGACCACCTTCTTGCCACAGCGGAGGACACTAGAGGAGAGTCTCTTCTGAAGCCTGAGCATACTCATGGCTGCAGCCGCAGCAGTGAAAGGCGAGATTTGATTCTTAACTATAAGTTTGGATGAATAGGCATCAAAATATCAACATATGTTTAGCTTGTGGCACTTTAAGCAATTTTACTTTTTTCTTGATGCTTATTCGTGTTTCCTAACTTAATAATCTTTTAACATTTTACATACTATATTCTTAATTACATACTATATTCTTAAATTCTGAGGCACATTAGAGAGATTTGAAGAAGTTATATTATTTGAAGTAGTTATATTAGAAGGATATTTCCTTTCTAATCTAAACAATTAAGTAAACTGTTGCTCTAAGAATAAAACACTCCATTGTGCCCTGATGATTCTTTGCAGTCCCCGTGAATGTTCAGCTTCCACCTCACTGGCATCACTCCCACAGTTCCTTACCTCCATCTGCTACACCCTTTCAGGTGATTTAACTTTCTCTGCATCCTCGGGATCTGTGTGGTCTTTTGGCCTTATACTAGTAACTTCCAGGGGAAAGGTCCACAGAGGCAGAGATCCTGGTTCTAATGCCAGGCATACTGGAGGCCTGAGCTTCAAGGCTCATACAGCCAGCCTTTGTGCCTGGTCCTGGCTCTTCCACTTGTGCTGAGCTAATAGTTTGGAGCCAGCATGGGGCTAGGACCCCTCTGGTAACATGTTTCCCTTTCAAAGCAAAGGAATAGTAAATGATGGGGGAGAAGAGCAGAAAGTTGAAACCAGCATTCATCGTGATGGCAGTGGCAGCTTCCTAGCCCAGCTGGACTGAGGACTTCCAATTCAATGAGCCTTGCTCTGCAGGCTTCCATGAAGTGCAGGAGGTCCTCACCATCCTGTCAGCGATTGCCCTCTCTGCCTCCACTCACCTTAGATAGCCTCTTCTTTAATCAAAGTACCCTGGCTGGCTGATACCAGGGATGCCTAACAAGTGATTTCAGAAAAACGAAGGGAATGTTGATTGGAAACCTGCCGTCTTTAAACTTGAAGGTAAAGAAGTCTAGTTAGTTGTGGGGATAGAAATCCAGAAGCCCATATCAGACTGTAGAAAAGTTGAGCAACTTTTGCCTGCAGTCCCATCAGGACCAATTTGTAGTTCCCAGATTATAAGTGGCCTCTGGGCAAGATAGCTGGTCCTACCAGTTTGGAGAAAGTAAATAGTCAGCTCACATGTCACTGTGTAAGATCTGTTCCACATGGACTGAAACACAGGCCTTCTGTCTGTATCACAGAACTATCTGATCTCTTGCCACTGAGTAAGCGAAACAGCTGAAAATGAAAGCCAAGGCTGATCCCCATGGGTGCCGAACTTTGATGTCCATGGAATCTGCAGCATCCCCCAGTCTCCTAGCTGAAAATAGGTGAGTGATTAAGGGAGTGGAACTTCAGGAATTATAATGTGCATTTATGGGAGCATTTGGAAAACTCAGTTTATCCCAAATCACCAACTCTACCTAATCTCCAAGCCTGCCCCTTCTTCCCACCTGAAAGCTGACCAGCCCAGATGGAAGGGTTTTCACTGCAAGAGATCTGTTTCCCCACCCCTCATTCTCCCTGACCTACTGTGAGAGTAAGATCTGAGCTGAGCCTGGGCACCAGTTCCTGGGAGGTGAAGACTCACATACCAAAATCATTTCCAACTGGCTAATGTATGTCAGCAAAATCCTCAAGAGCATGTGTGGATATGGGTTCTTGGAGTATTTTATAAAGTAGAAACAGTATAATTTTAAATGAATCTGAATTTTTTATTAGGAGTGTGCCCAATTAAAATTCTATTTAAGATACCATAGCTGGAGCAGCTGGGATAAACCTATTTGCTCAGTTGGTGGACCTAAGCCTGGATTCACAGGAGGCCAATTCCAAATGCATTTGAGATGTTAGGGATTTCTTGCTGTAATGTAAAAAGAATCCATAGGCTTCAGGGGGTAGGTAAGATTTATCACACGTGACTTGCCCTGGCTTGAACAACACATAGGTCTGTGGAGCTCTACATTCTTGAAAAGAATTCTGGTAACTGTTCTCTGTAGACAGAGATGCTGGTGGGAGGCATGATAGTGGAAAGTGAATGCCTGATTTCAGTGGGGCTGGGAGGATCCTAGGGTGTCAGAGGCCAAGCAGCATGATACTTTAGCTGGAAATGAACTTTGGATGTTACTCCGTGGTCTGTGACACACAGGTCTTGGTTGTGGCTCATTAGTGGTGAGGTTTTTAGGCCTGAGAATGGGGAGCTCATCGTGATCCCCTTGATGTGTAGATCTGAGTTACCACCATCGCCAGCACAATGGAGGTTCCTGGCCTCTGACTCAGTCCCCAGTTCTGTATCTGCTCGGAGACCCTGCCTCCCTTGATGGCGGGGAAGCTAAGCTTGAGCAAAGGACTCTGCCAAATACCCAGTCATGGCCTGTGAATCTTCCTGCCAGATTTCCCCTAATAGATGCTTCAGCCATTTGCCTGGAAACTGCATTGTGCAATGGGAAATAGCCACATAATTTTGGGATTAATGGTTGTGTGCTGCATCTGTGAAGCTTCTGGAGGTTTAGCATTTTTGGGAAACATCAGAATATCCCGAGAAAGACCACATCCTGCATCTTGCTTTGTTTAGCTACCACCACCATTAGAGGGGGCTTGAGAGACCGCAGTTACTACCCATGGTGTGCTGTTTTCACCCAAAAGGCTACAAACTGTAAGGTGTTCATCAGATAATACTGAGGTGAGCCTTAGGACTGACCAAAAGGTTCCGGTGGGGGTGCCCTTTACCTGTTCTTATTTTTATATACTTATTTGGAATCTGACTCTAGCTTCCTTTACCTTGCTGAGCCCATGATCTGTATCTGTCTGCATGGAGGAGAGAAAAGAGGCTGATGGGGTCAGTTCAGTTCTCTGGGAAGCCCCAGCAGACTTCCTCCATCATCTTGCTCCTTGCCCTTAGTCTCACAGAGCCTCCCAGAATCCTGCTCTTCTCTGGTCCGTAGTCTGGGTAGTCCAGTGTGTGAGTCTGCAGCAGTCCCAGGTGGGAACTCCAGAACCTGGGGACACAGCCAAAAGTCCAGGGTGTGGCACTGTGAGCCCGGTAATCTAAGCTCATTAGATTTCTCATGTCTATTGGAGGTGGGCATGAGGCTGCCGCTGGTTTAGGTACTCCTGTGCCACAGCCCAAGCTGGGTCCTGTGGGAAATATAGCAGGACTTACAGACATGGCCCAGCTGCTTTCAGGGATCACATGGATCTTAATGGGGAGATTCTGAACAACTCTGCAGAAGTGCTGGAGTGGTACCCAGAAGGTTGGAGGAGGCAGTGGTCTGTGCCTTACAAACTTTAAAGTTTATAAAATCACCTGAGGACTAATTGAGTGTGCGCTTCAGAGATGCTGTGGTCAGAGATTTCATAGACTGTGTCATTTTTCCCCATGGTGGATTAGGAGGAGCTTACAACCCAGTACCCACTTTGGTGATTAAAAGCAAACCAGGGTAGGGGGCACCTGGATTTGAACCAGGGACCTCTTGATCTGCAGTCAAATGCTCTACCCCTGAGCTATACCCCCAGGCCCAGGAAGATGGTGTAATTAACTCCCTTTTCATGTGTTGACTCACCAAGAACAAGACTCATCTTTCTTCTGTGGTTGGGATGTCGAGGCTGGTTCTGTGTCTCTGAACTCTGGCCTCCCTCCTGTCACTAAAACTTCTTTCCGCATCACTTCTGTGTGCACCTGGCTGAGGACGCCGTGGTGGCCTGGTTGAGCTTTATAACTGGAGAGACCCTTCAAGTCATCCAGGTAATTCTCTTTGACAGTAGCTGTTGAGCATCATGTCAGGTGTGCTGGGCTGGGGACAGAACTCTATCTGGATGACACCACCCTTCCCTGCACTGAAAGGAGGCCCAGAGCCTGTGTCTGGGGCTTGTATTTGATATAGAATAAGGTTCATGATAATTCGTCAAGTGAAAAGCAAATTGCTTTGTAAAAAAAAAAAAAAAGTTTAAACCAAACCCCTGTGACACAAGTTTACCCATATGACAAACCTGCACATGTATCCCTAATAAAAATTAAAAGAAAAAAAAATTAAAAAGATGATACTCTACAGAATACCACTTCTAAATTTATTCCTCAAAAATATTCATATAAGTGCATGAAGACACATACATGTATGTGGAGATTCATTACAGCTGTTTTTGAATTCCTCACAGCCAAACACTGGAGACCATCTAAATATCCATTGGCAGGGAATTGGTTAAAACATTACAGTACATTCGCAGGATGGAATGTGATACAACAGAAATCGATAAGCTAGAGATCCACTGCACTGCCACGGGAAGACGCTTCAATGAAACATTAAGTGAAAAGCAAATTGCACAACAGATGTATGGTATGAGCTCATTTGGGCTTTAAAAAATACGTTATATACAATTATACAATCTGTGATATATTCAAATCCGTCTACTAAATGGACTAGTGGAGATGTCCAAAAGGAAGCTGGAGTTCGAGGGGAGGTACTGACTAAAGACATCCATTTGCGGGTCTTCTGCCTATTCAAGCCAGGACGGAATGAGATCAGTGAGGAAGTGTGAGTAGAAAAGAGAAGTGGTCTGGGGACTAAGACCTGGGCCGTCAAATGTTTAGAAATGGGGATGCTGAGGAGAAACTAGCAAAAGAGATTGAGAAAAAGTGGCAGAGAATTACAAAGAAAACAACAGAAAAAGAATGACAGCCCCAAAGTCAATTCAAAAAAATGCTACAGAGGGCCTGAGTCAAAGATGAGAGTCAACCATGACAGATGGCCACCAAGGACTGTGACAATCACAGTGTCAGTGCAGTTGGGTCGGTGTTTTCCTGGGAAGCCTCCTGACCCTCCTGATGGGTGGAACCCCTGCCACATGCTCCCATGCACCTGTATATCTATCAAAGCACACACAGTTTGCCACAGTTATTGTAAACAAGTGCCTGCAGGGCTCATTGTATATCATGAATGGTGAATACATATATAAATTTTGTTCAAATGTGTGAACAAAAAATAGAGGCTATATTGATGGAATGAGATTCCGGGCAAAGCCAAGGGGTGGATGAAGAACACAGGATGTATTCTAGAGAGGAGCAGGCAGGCTTTGTCTCTTAGCCAGGAGGAGATGAGGAGAAGGTGAAGATGCAGAGCAGCAGGGGATGCTGAGGGGCCTCCATGGCCTTGGTCTCCTCAGTCAGATAGAAAACGCGTCATCCAAAGAGAATAGAGAGGTAGGGTGGGACTCATTACTTGGGAAGAAGGGCAAAGCGTGAACCAGGACTATGGGAAATGGAGAAGGGGTGAATTAGAAAGGAATAGGATCATTGCTCATTAGCACAGAGGCGCTGGTTGAGGTCAGGCTGGCGTAGATTTGCATTGGGACTATTTGGCTTTACAATTTCCACCAGCAAAGACTGACTCCCTCAGAGCAAAGATGGGAAGGGCCAATGGCAAGGGTATCTGCGGAAGCAGAAGGGCTTATGAGGGAGGTAGACAGACCACAGGTCAAGCCCCCAAAGGAGCTAGAATCATGAGTGAGAGGCCAAACATGGGATCCATAATGGGCAGGCAGATAGCTGAGCCCCAGGGTGGCTCTTCACTTATGGGAACAGAAAGAGGCGGATAAGATTAAGGTCAAAATGAAGATAATGAACCATTTTCAGTAACGGTAAAGAAACAGGTAAACACCAGAAGAGGTGTCATAAAAGGACTTCTCTGATTCTAAGATCTTGAAAGAGAATAGCTTGAGTGATAACCAGGTTGCTATGAATGCTGAACACCCAAAATAACAAAGGATTAAAGCAAAACCCAAACAAACCAGAAGCTTCCTTTTCTGCCACATAAAAGTCCACAGCCAGGCAGTCCAGGCATGGCATTCCATTGAGTCAAGAACTCACTTTCTTCTTTCTGGCTGTCTGGTCCGCTTGGCTATCATCCCAGCATGCCATCGCCCACATTAGTGTTGTGTCTCCCTCCCAGCCAGCGGGAAGGAGGAAAAGACAAGCGTCTCCGTGTAAGAACATGCATCACTTTCACCTTCATCTCATTGACCAGCCTTATGCCTGTGGCCTCACAGCTCCAAGGGCGTCTGGAGAATGCAATTTTCCTTCTGGGAAGCTGCATACCCAGCTAATAACCAAGAAGGAGAGTAGAAGACACTGGTGGAAAACTCTGAACCTCTACCTCACCACAGCTGTTAAGAGGCACAGTGAGTGGAGTTTGTGAACATTCCTAGAACCAGGAAGATGGAAATCTCATGAGGTCATCGCCTTGGATGCACATTGCCATGCAGTTTGACATTTCTGAGGATGAAGGCAGAGGGAGGTGAAGAAAATATGATTTGTTAGTCTGGTTCTAAAAATTTCCACTAAGTTTGTAGAGTCCCAAATATCAGAGAAGACATCAATGGGGAGAGGAGAGCATGGTGGAACAAGATGGCTTTGAGAGAGGCGAAGTGTGGTGGTATGGTAGCATCTGGAGGCAATGAGTAGACTGAGGCTGGGAAGGCGAAGGTGGCCTCTCTGTTGTGGAGGTTGAAGGGGAAGGATGGCTTCAGGGAAGGTGGCCTTCAGGTCTGCAAGGAGGGATTACAAGGAAGAGTTGCAGGGAAAGGTTAAGGAGGAAGGAGAGTGTTTACAGAGCAGCTAGAGGGCTGGCAGGCTTGGATGGAGGAGCTGAAACAGTAGTGGGGATACAGGAAGGAGGCTACCCAGAGAGACCATTTGCACTATCAGAAAACATGCGAGGGCAGGACGGGAAAGAGCAAGCACCCAAGTTCTAGGCCAAACTCGTAAGTGTTTGCGAAACTGGAACAGCAGAAACCGTGTCTTAAAAAATTTAAGTTTTTGTAGGTACGTACTGGGTGTGTATATTTACGGGATATAGGAGCTGTTGTGAAACAGGCATGCAATGTGAAATAAGCACATCATGGAGTATGGGGTATCCATCCCCTCTAGCATTTATTCTTTGAGTTACCAGTGCCACTTTTTGGAGGGGAAAACAAGTACTAAATAAAAAGTTCACTTCAAAAGGAATCCGCTTTGATGAAAAGGAGATTATGAAGTACATCATTGAAGATTAAAGAAGTCCTGTTTTTCAGTCTCTTCTATCTTATAAAGAAGGTCAGAAGATACAGAATATTTTCAACTCAGGGAGTAGAGCAAAGCACCATTTGCTAAATGATCAAATTAGACAGAGCCTCAAGTGACACTACACTTCACCAGGCTGTATCTTCAATGCCTACTTCTTTGTTGTGTTTTCCTGCCATTCAATGTAGAGATACTAAGACTTTCTTGCTGTCACACAGTTCTATTACAAGAACCTGTTTTTAACCTATCTAAAATAGAAACTTCAGTTGTTTATATAAATTTGAAGAATTATTAAATGTTTTAGGTAGTTTTGGAAAAGACTCATAAAACAGGATTAGTGTGAGGGATACTAAAAATCATGAATTGTATCTCTGAATTCTATGCTGTATTGCTGAACCTCCATGAATTTTCAGATTTTGTATCAAAAAAGCTGTTTGTCCTCCAAAACATAGAAAGCCGTCATGTCCTTTAGTTTTTGAGATTGTTAATACAACTCAGTGATCCCTTCTGCAGAAGTTTGCTTTTAAAGCTTAAATATGACATAACTTTGCCTTTGATAGTTACAAAATCTAAACACAACATGGAGCTTTACTTATACTTTAACCTGTTAATATTTCATCCTCTGCAAGCTGTCTGGGCCTTATAAAGGCTCACTCACTGAGCCATAAATCCTGGTGGTTTGTCTTGGACATCGAAAACCAATTCCACTCCATCCCAGGGAAAATGCCTGGAATGAGGAGGGGAAAAGTCAAGTCAACTAAGAAATGCTGAGACAGCCTTTGTTCCTGGAAGATGCTGCTCTGGTCCAGTTTTAAGTGCTGTACACATAATTGTGAAAGGAAAATCAGTCTTGGGGTCACCAAATCACTAAAGGGAAAAGTCAAGCTGGGAACAGCTTAGGGCAAACCTGCCTCCCATTTTATTCAGAGTCACCTCTCTTCTCTCTGAGATAAATGCATATCTGATTGCCTCCTTTGGAGAGGCTCATCAGAAACGCAAAGAAATGCAGCCATTTATCTCTTATCTACCTGTGACCTGGAAGCCCCCTCCCCGCTTTCAGTTGTCCCGCCTTCGCCTCAGCGTGTCCCACCTTTCCAGACTGAACCAGTGTACATCTTACACATATTGATTTATGTCTCATGTCTCGCTAACATGTATAAAACCAAGCTGTGCCACTACCATCTTGGGCACATGTCATCAGGACCTCCTGAGGCTTTGTTGTGCTCAACCTTGAAAAAAATATACTTTGTAAATTAACTGAGACCTGTCTCAGATATTAGGGCTTCAGGTAAGGATGAGTAAGAAGAGGCAGAATGGGAACAAGGCAGCGTTGGGCTAAGGAGGCTTCTCGGAAGCTCTGCCAAAGTGGGGTCTCACCCTTAGGTATAGTCTAGAACCCCCTTGGGAGCTATTGCCATGCCTGGGTCCCCCCTGCCAAATGTTCTGATTTAATTGGTCTGGGGTGGGGCCTGGGAAATGGCAGTTTTATGACTCTTTAAGTGATTCTAATTTATATCTGGGGTTTAGATTCTAGCCTCACCATTTGTGGGTTCCAGAAAAAATGAAATATTTACTGCAGTGTCTAATAAAGAAGAAGTTAAAATGTAGGCACCTATTTAAAATGTCAAAATTGAAAATGCGGAGGGGGTATCTGGAATTGAACCGGAGGCCTGTTGGTCTGCAGTCCAATGCTCTACCCCTGAGCTATACCCCCTCCTGCTGTTGTGGGGGACAATTAATGTCTTTGACTTCTAGGGTCACACCCAGATTACCAGTAATCTATGAGTTGCCACCTCACAATGGAAGCTCCTAGGAGCTGCCAGGCCTACCTCACTGAAAACTCATTGACCTTGTGCACAACAAGAGGCAGTGCCCCCTCCTCAAATACCCTGGAGCCTGGCTTCCCTGACATGGTGGGCATGTATAAGAGAAACTCCATGTGACTGAGGTGTCTGTTCTAACACACTTAATGACAGAGTTGGGCCTGGTTCTTCTAGCCCATTATTCCATTGATGGCATTTTCAACACAACTGCAATCTAGAACAAAAGAGGATTCTTTCAACTTCCACTTTTTTATTTAATATAGGTAGAGAATGGTAGAGAAGGAGAGACTCCAAGAAATAGAAGTGGTAGCTGAGTAGATTTTGGAACCCCCCAAAAGCATTAATAGGGCCAATGTTAACATAGTTTCAAGGACCAAAATATGGTGATAGAGAACAACCCAACTTGACTCTCATTTTTTTTTCTTAAGCAACAGGGTATTGTCCTGTCATCCAGGCTGGAGTGCAGTGAAACACTCATAGCTCACTGCAGCCTTCAACTCCTGGGCTGAAGATACCAGTCTCCTAGCAGAAAATAGGTCAATGATTATGACAGTGGTACTTCAGGAATTGTAAGGTGGATTTATGGGAGCATTTGGAAAACTCGATTTATCTCAAATTACCAACTCTACCTAATCTCCAGGCCTGCCCCTTCTTCCCACCTGAAAGGGAAGCCCAAATGGAAGGGTTTTCACTGAAAGAGCCCTGACCTACAGTGAGAGTAAGATTCAGCTGAGCCTGGGCACCAGTTGCTGGGAGGTAAAGACTCACACACCAAAATCATTTCCAACTGGCTAATGTATGTCAGC